TGTCTCTGATTTATTGTTGCCTGGTAATTTTGTATTTTTTATTTATCATAATTATTTTGTACTGATCCCTTATTGGTTTCCCTATATTCCTCCTATAAATGAAACCATCCAATATTTTTCTTTTTCTTTCTGGCTTATTTCACTGAGCATTATTCCTTTCAGCTCCATCCATGTTGCTGCAAATGGTATGAGTTTATCTTTTCTTGATTGCTACATAGTATTCCATTGTGTATATACACCACATCTTCTTGACTCAGTCATCTATTTTTGGACATTTGAGTTGTTTCCATATCTTACCTATTGTAAATAGTGCTACAATAACACAGGGATGCAGGTATCCTTTTGAATTAATGTTTTTGTGTCCTTTGGATATTTTTCTAGGGGTGGAATTGCTGGGTAGCTCCATTTTCAGTAGTTTGAAGAACTTTCACACAGCTTTCCATAGTGGTTGTACCAGTTTGCATTCCCTCCAGCAGTGTAGGAGAGCTACTTTTTCTCCACATCTTCACCAACATTTGTTGTTGCCAGTTTTATTAGTATGTGCCATTGTCACTGGTATCTAATTGTGGTTTTGATTTGCATTTCCCTGATTATAAGTGAAGTTGAACATTTTTTCATAAATCTGTTGCTGTTTGCATTTTCTCTTTGGATAAGTGGGGTTTTTTTGTTGTTGTTGTTTGTGAGATCTTTGTAGATCTTTGTGGTCAGTCCCTTATCAGTTGTATTGTGTGCAAAGATTTTTCTCCCAGTCAGTAGGAGTTTTGTTTTGGTTAATGTCTCTTTTGTTGTACAGAGCTTTTTAATTTGATGTAATCCCAGCTGTTTATTTCTTCCTTCACTTTCTTTGCTTTGGGGGATAAGTCTTTAAAGATGTCACTGACATGTATGTCATGTAGTGTTTTACCTATATTTCCTTCTATATATTTTATGGTTTTAGGCCTTATGTTATTTTATCCATTTTGAGTTGGTTTTGGGCATGGTGTGAGGTAGAATCCAGTGTCATTTTTTATGTGGTGGTCCAATTTTCCCAGCATCATTTATTGAAAAATAAATGTCCTTGTTCCATTATATATTCTTTGCTCCTTTATCAAAGATTAGTTGTCCTGATTGAATTTATTTTTTTAAAGATTTTATTTATTTATGCATACAGAACTGGGATACAGACCAGAGGGGACAAGGGGTGAGAGGATTCACCAGAGACAGAGTAGCTAGCAGAACAGGCAGACTGATGAAGTACACTGCTGAGGGGAGCAGTGGGTGCCATGCCATGTGGTTCACCCCTCTGGCCGGGGATCAAACTCATGCTGCAGTGGCTGTGATAACTTCAGGATGCTG